TCTTTCTTTCTTTTCTTATTTTGAATATGGGTCTTATGTTACCTGGGTTGGTCTTGAAATCGTGAGCTCAAGTAATCTTCTTGCCTCAGACTTCTAAGTAGCCAAGACTATAGGCTTACCATGTTTGTTAACTATCTTTATTAATGGGCATGAAATGGTTGTGGATTTGATTTGTATTTCCCTAATAATGTTGAACAACCTTTCATGTGCTTACTGGTCATTTCTGTATCTTCTTTGAGGGAAGCGTCTATTTAATTTCTTTTTCCATTTTAAAATTGAGTTTGTTCTATTTGTTGAGTGTGGGAGTTCTTTATATATTATGAATATTAATCTCTTATCAGGCATATTATTTCAAGTATTTTATCCCATTCCATGGGCTATCTTTTCATTCTCTTGACAGTGTCCTTTGTGGCACAAAACTTATTAATCTATTTTTGAGACAAGGTCTTGCTCTGAAGCCCAGGTTAGCTTCAAACTCACAATCCTGCTGCCTCTGCCTCCTGTGGGTTGGGATTACATGCACGTACTACCACATCCAGCCCAAAACTTACTAATTTTTATTGAGTCTAATTTATCTTTTGTGCCTATGCTTTTCATGGCACACCCAAGAAATGATTGCCAAACCCAATGTCCTGGAGATAGTCTACAGTGGTTTCTTCTAAGAATTTTATAGTTTACCTCTTTCATGCAGTTTTTGATCTATTTTGAATTAATTTTTTTTCAGTACTGGGGTTTGAATTCAGGGCCTATACCTTTGAGCCACTTCACCAGCCCTTTTTTCAAGATAGGGTCTCAAGAACTATTTTCCCGGGCTGGCTTCGAACCTCGATCCTCCTGATCTCTGCCTCCTGAGTAGCTAGGATTACAGGCATTAGCCACCAGTGTCTGGCTTTGAGTTAATTTTTATATATGGTCTAAGGGTCTAATTTTATTCTTTTGCATGTGAATATCCAATTTTCCCAGCTCTAGTTTTTAAAATGACTTTCCTCACTGAACGCTCTTAGCATCCTTATTGAAAATTATTTGACCATATGTAACAGGATTTATTTCTGGACTTTCTAGTCCATTCCATTGGTATATGTCTGCCATTTTGTCAAAACCACACTATTTTTGTAGTGTAGCTTCATTGTAAGTTTTTAAATAAAAAGTAAGAATATTCCAATTTTGTTCCCCTTTTCAAGATTTTAGCTATTTGTGGTGCTTGAAATTTCATATAAAAGTTAGAATGAGTTTTTCTATTTCTACAGAAAAGTCAGTGGGATTTTGATAGTGTTACATCAAATCTATAGATTGCTTTGGATATTATTGCTGTTAACTATTAACTCCCCCAACCCATCAACATAGGATGTATTTTCATTTAGGTCTTATTTAATTTCTTTAGGTAATGTTTTATAGTTTACAGTGTACAATTATTTCACATCCTTGGTTAAATTTAGTTTTGTGCTAGTCAGACTTTTCATCACTGTGATAAATACCTAAGAGAAATGGTTTGAGGAAATGTTTATTTTGGCTTACTGTTTCAGAGGTTTCAGTCCATGGTCACTTGGCTCCATCACTGTAAACCTGTGGGAGACAGAGTATCCTGGTGGAGAGGGTAAAGTGAGGCAGAGCTGCTCACCTCATGATGGGACAGAGAGAGAGAGATAGAGAGAGAGAGAGAGAAGGTGGGCGGGGCAGAGCAGAGCAAGGTATACTCTTCACAGACATCGGCCCAAGGTGACTTACTTCTTCCAGCCAGGCCCCCACCTCCTAAAAGTCCTTTCGGTATGAATTTACCAATGGATTAACCTAGTGAATGAAGTTAGCACCCTCATGATCCATTCACCTCTGAATGATTGGACTGGATCCACTAGCTGGGGACCAAGCTTCAGTAGATGAGCCTTTTGGGGGACATTCATAGACAAATCATAACACTTTTCAATGCTACTGGAGGTGGAATTATTTTAATTTCCTTCTTGATTATTCACTGTTGGAGTACAGAAATGCAACTCATTTTTGCATGTTGATTTTGTATTCTGTAACACTTTTGCATTTATTAGCTCAATAAATTCAGAAAATTTGTATAGAATACAAATTTTGTATGGAATTTTTACATGTAAGGTCATGTCAGCCGAAAACAGATAGTTTTCTTCCTTTCCATGTTGGATGTCCCCTCCCTCCCTCCCTCTTTTCCTTCCTTCTTCCTTAAGCCAGGACAAGCACTCCACCACTGGGCTGCCCTCCCAGTCCTCGGCATGCCTTTTCTTTAGGGAGAAGCATTGAGACAACCAAGTCAGCTTTTGCTGTTGCTATGGTTACCCTCAATAAGGTTTCAAATTCTTCTAGTGTTATTTTTTGCTTGAGTGATGGCTGGAAAGTTGGAGGGTTTTGCTCAGTCTGTTCTATTCTCAGTTATTGGTCTCCTCTTCTTGCCTATGCCTCAGAGAGGATGTCTCTCCACAGTTTTACCCTCAATTCCAGCAGTAGACTGCCATTGCTTGTTCTTGGACACTTGTTAGCTTGCTAGTTTTGGTTCGGCCTCACTCTAAGGAAGGTGTGTGCTGGCTTTCAAGGATAGGGCCTTCTCAGTGGCCTTGTCTCCCTCCCCGGCATACATCTTTGAAAGTCTAGTTCAGGACAGGGTCTTGCTCCTACCAGGGGTAATAGTTATTTTATGTTTTTTTCACCCATCTATAATGACTTTGACCTGTGCCTTGAAAGTGACAGAGTTTTCTGCTTCTCCTTCCTCCTGGCACAAGGATTTTTGTTTTGTTTTTGGAGTGGGGGTGGGGTGTTGAGAAACAAAGTAGAAGGATCCAGGCCTGACTTCATGCCTTTCTCATCTTCCTTGGCTCTTTGCCTCCCCAAAGGTTGCACTCTGAGCAAGGCTTTCATTGGTTTCTTGCCCTGCCTCTAATTTTTTTCGTGAACACCTGATGGAAGTTTGTGGAGAAGGAGCTGTGAGGGGGTACACTACAAGTTCTAAAGTCTTATACTAGGCCACACTCTGTCTTTTTCACATATTAAAAGACAACATACTGCCAGAATAGATGTTATTGAAGAAATGAAGAATATAAGGGCTGTAGAGAGGGTTGGTTGTTTATTATTGTTTATTATTTTAAAGAAAAAGGCAAACTCAAGTTTTAGTTTCTTCAATTAGAAAAGCTTCTATGATTTCCCTGAAATAATTTCATATTGTAATTGCAGGGCTGATACAGTATGCAATAAAACATAGTATCTGATCTTTTGGCTTGCTAACAGATTCAATGAAATTCTTACACAAAAATTAGGATGCTGACTGGGAAAGAGTTAGAGCCTGACAATTTAAATGGGGGACATTTGGATAGATTTAGGATCTCCTGACCCCTCAGCCATATTTTGAACCTTTCTTTGTAACAGAGGCAGTGCCTCCCACTTGATAAGTCTGGTCCTCCCTACAATGTCATCTGAGAAAGTTACAAAGGCATGCCAAATCTCTTCCTATATCCCCTCAACCAGTCTTGACTGTCTTTAGATGTACAAATAGCTAGGGTCAGATCTCAGTATGCTTTAGAGCAGGTGCAAAGTATGATCTGGGAAGAGAAGACTTCTGTATGGGAAGAACTGCAAAATTTTGCTAATATATTAGTTTTGAGGATTTTGGATTAGGTAGGCTTGGGCCCAAATTTACTGAGGGGTAAATTATCAGAAATTCTGAATTTGATGAGTTGGTTTCAGGTGGTTGAGGCTGATTGTACACATTTATCTGGTTGTTTTAAACCTGAGTTGAATGGTGGCCCACACTTGGCCACCAAATGTGATAGGTCATAAATTTCTTGTTAATGTAGGGAAAGAAATGCAAATAGCTGGGGCGCCCGTATCGGAACGGATTTGTGATGTATGACCTGCTTGCCCACTCTGATCTCCAAGAGGATCTTAGAGAATGCCCCCTTTACCAAGGCATTGACAAATAAATTGGTGAGGGGAGTGTCCTTGAAGAACACTGTAATGGCTGTCCTCTGTCAACCAGGAAAAAGTGGGAAGTATAGCAATGTAAAAGTTGTCATTGTCGTCTCCCGATTCCACCTCAAGGGGGATGACGACGCTTAGAGAGGCAGAGGCCTTGTAGAAGCAACAAAGGCAAAAGCATGAGCTACCACAGTGGACATCAGGACACAGCAAGATTGGGTAGGCCTGCAGGTATCTTCGGCGGTGGCGACATTTTTAAGACGCTCCCTATCCCCAATCTAGTTCTGGTGAACCAAGCCCTGTTTGAGCCGCCGCGGTTGTGGAGAACTAGGGCGCCTCACCTCATTCCCAGACGCCATACCGGAAGCGGCAGGGCGTCAGTCAGGAAGCGCAGGTCTCCATCGACGACGACGGTTACCTCAGAAGGTTTCCCAAACCCGTGGTCCAAGGCCCATGGTCTGCAGCAAAGATCTGCGTGAAACTGAGAACGCGACATTTCCCACCCAGGCAGGGAGCTTCGCCACGCCATGTCCCGCCATCGCTGTCCTCAGACCACCCGCAGGCGCGGCCCCACCCCCGTCTCTTCTCCCCCCGCCCCCACCGCCGAGCGCGCGGAGCCCGTTTCCCGCCAGAACCGAGGGCGCCTGAGAAGCGTGGAGGCCGCGGGCGCCGCCATGGCGTTCGCGTGGGGTAGCTCCCTGGGACTCGTGGTCTGGCTCCTGTTGCTTCAGCCCCAGCTCGGCAAAGCCCAGGCGACGCCACTGTCCCCGGCTCCTCACCCCTCAGGTGGCGGGCAAGAGTCGCCACCACCTACAGGGGTGCCGGGGTCCCCTGTGAAGGGCGGCACTTTCTCTCCCCATTTGTTGGAGTTTGCCTCAGGTGACTTTGCGTTTGGCGTCTGGACGGAGGCGTCGGGATGCCCGCAAGAGAGGCTGGGGAGTGGGCTCTTCCCAGCACCCCTGGGGTTCAGGAGGTCATGGCCTTCTTGACTGTCCTTGGGGCATCGTGGCACCCGTGGCGGGTGAGGGAGGCAGGGCCTGACTCTGAGTTCTTCCTACACTGCCCTCATCTAGTGTGCGGCCGACCCATCCTGAAGATCGTGGGAGGAAGCAAGGCAGAGGAAGGGAAGTGGCCCTGGCAGGTGAGCGTGAGGATCAGACACATGCACGTCTGCGGAGGGTCCCTCATCACGTCGCAGTGGGTGCTGACTGCGGCCCACTGCATTTACAGGTGAGGGGTGACAGGTAGAGAGGGGAGAGTTCTGGAGTCCTCCCTGCCCTTCACAAACATCCCCCAAGTTCCATTGCCCTGGAAAATTGGTAAAATAAATAAACAAACAAAATAAAAGAAAGGGAGGAGGTTCTGCATTGATCATCTTTGTTGCTAAAAGTATTTAAGGTGGGCGGGGAGGCCAGACAATTTGGAGGGATCAGTAGAGGTAGGGTGATAGAGTGGCAAGGAAGGTTGAGGGGCACATTGGGAAACATCTGAAATGGTGTGTGTGTGGGGGGAGAAGGTCACAAAGGATGCTTACCAGGGTCTCTATAAAGGACATGACCTCTTTCCTGCAGCCACCTCCAGTACAATGTCAAGATGGGAGATCGAAGTATCTATAAGACAAACGCAAGTCTGGTGGTTCCCATCCAGAACATCATTGTCCACCCTCAGTTCTCAACATCTGTGACTGTTGAAAATGATCTTGCCCTTCTCCATCTCCTCCACCCTGTGAATTTTACCGCTACCATCCACCCTGTCTGTGTTCCTGCAGACACATTCCAGGTGGAAGCTGGGACCAGGTGCTGGGTGACCGGATGGGGCAAAACTGCAGAAGGCGGTAAGACAACCTCAAGCAAACTCAGGACAAGAAGAGAGGCACCCTTATCCCTGGAGTAGGAAGGAAGGCTAAAGGGAGGGACAAAGAGGGAGAGAGACTGCCTGGCACATGGGGAAAAGGGAATTGTTCCAGGTTGGCTTGGATGACCTAAGAAATTGTGTTGAGGTCTTTTGTTTCAACACAAACATTTGATGGCAGTCAATCAAGAAAAGAAACATATGGGCCAAGTCTCCTTTTGTCCATTTGTAGGGCACTATGCTGGGCTGTTTTGGGGGTGTTTTTATGTTCTCTGGGGATAGAGCCAGATGCTATGGAGTTCTCGCCAGGGTGAATTTCTGCTCAGGGGATGATGAGCTCCCTACCAGTAAGAGCTGCTTCTCACTGGAAGTTACCTGTGTTGGTGGGTAGGGAGCTTCTTGTCCCTGGAGACAGAGACAGAACCAGAAGACCCATGTTGGTGAGGCCTTTATTCATGGGAAGAGGTTGGATTAGGCACATTTGGGTCAGTACCTGTCTGAGAACCTGTGATTCTGTTCTAGAAAATAGATGCTTGGCTGGATGTGGTGGTTCATTCCTGAATCCCAGCATTCAGAAGACTGAGGCAGGAGGATCATGGGTTCGAGGCCAACCTGGGCTACTTAGTGAGACCTTGTCTCAAAAAAGAAAGAAAGGAAGGAAGGAAAGGAAAAGAAAGGGAAGGAAGGAAGGAAGGGAGGGTGGGTAAAGATGCTTTACTAATGCACAGGATACCCATCACTACTGACATCAGAATGACACACACTTGGTTGTCATTTCTTGGGCTGTTAAGGCCTTGCCTCTCCCTCTTCTGAAATACTCTTCCCTTCTCCTGTCTTGATTTTGCCTCTTACCCCACCCTCTCTCTTTGTTAGCTTTAGGCTTCTGTTTCCTCCTTCATCAAGGGGAGACAATAAGCAATGTCCTGCCTTCTTTTAGGAGCATTCTAGGTGCTGGAGGCCTTGCTGCCTGCTTGTGTAGATCCTCAGACACTGATCTCTCTTCATTATTGGCAGGCGTTCTGGCAGAAACTCTCCAGGAGGTAGACCAAGAGATCATCCATTATAAAGAATGTAATAGGATGATGCAGGCGGCCTTGTCATCTGTTAAAAATCTAGTCCTGAAAGGAATGGTCTGTGGCTATAAAAGCAGAGGAAAAGATTCTTGTCAGGTAAGTTCATGGGCCCTACCCTCAGTTCAGGTGGCAGGGCTTGAGTTATCTGCTACTTCCTCCATCACCTCTTCCTTGAGTTAAGGAGATTTTTGAGAGAGACCCCCATCTTTCCCACATGGTGTCCCTAGCTGGGCTAGCCTGTTCCTTGTAAAGGCAGCAGCCATCACTGTCTGGGGGCTGCTAGGGTGTTGAAAGTTGCATGGGGTAGATGATGCTAATAATGTGTTGATTTTAATTGAGTTCTCCTTCGTGGCACTCGCTGTGCCAGTGGGTGCATTACCCAGGTCATTTCAGTAAATCCACATCCCAACCCTGCAACATAGACTCCATACCTCTTATACAGATGTGGAAGGTAAAATCCAAAGACATGAATTCGAGGTCCTCCTGTGAGTACCTGTAGGACTCCCAGGCCCAGGATCTTCCCTCTTGCATCAAGCTGTGTTCTCGAAGTGTGGACCTTTGGGCCAGGTCTTAGCAGATAAGTATTTGGATTTCTTGGAAAGAGAAGAATGGCATTGTAGGGATAGGGCACAGCATGGACAGGGGCTCAGAGGTCTGAGGACACTTCTTACATTTAAGGAATAGGTTACACATTTGGACCAATGGGGTAGCAAACATACCCAGCGAAGTGGGTCAGAGTCACTGTATGTGCTGCTGGGAGTGCTGTGCCAAATTTCTATAGTAGTCCAGCACGATCAGATTTGCCTTTCACATAAAGGACTCCTGTGTTGTGTGGTGTCTGGACTGGAGTGTGAGAACTTGTTTCATCATCTAGGAAAAGCCATGGAGTCCTGAGTGAGGCAGGGCAGGAGGTGAGGCTGGGAGTGAGGGATAGGCTCAGGAAGTCCTGTGTTTCTCATTGAGGTGATTGGTGGTGGGGTTACTGGAGCAGGTTTGAGAAAGGACATGCAGAGTTCTGGTTGAACTGGGGTGTATGTGGGATGTGTGAGAATGGAACTTAAATGCAGGGAAGCTCCAGAGACAGTTCAAACTAAATGTGAGGAACGGGGACTGCTACCCAGAGGTGATATTTGAACTCCATAATGAACACTGTGGCTGGGGAAATGACCATAATGACCTCAGAGAATACTAACATTTTGCCATTAACTTTTCACTGACCTTACTCATGTATCCAATTTTCATATTCACAGAAGTCTAGGCCTGGCTGAGCCTTTGGGGTGCCTGAGGAAGCCCCAGGCATGCCTGTCTCCCAGTGCCTTGTAGGGCACTCAGCCTACTGTGACATGAATCAATTCCATTCCTGCAGTTTGTCTATTTCTTTCTCCAGGGAGATTCTGGGGGTCCCCTGGTCTGTGAATTTAATGAGACATGGGTACAGATAGGAATCGTGAGCTGGGGTGTTGGCTGTGCTCGGAGAGGACATCCTGGAGTTTATACAGATCTTGGCTTCTACAGCAAGTGGCTCACTGCAGTGGTGAACCGGACTTCCTCTTTGTATCCAGTGGTGTTCATCTTACTCTTGTGTCTGCTGACCTTGTGACATCCTAAGGACACCATGATCACCTGGGCCCACTCCCTCCTGTTTCTGAGTCTCCCACTAGGCCTCTCCTCCGACCTCCCTTTCCTTCTCAATGCCCTTCTTCAAATTCCAGTTGGGATCCATTGCCCTGGAGAGATCCACAGTGGAGCATGGCAGGGGGACTGGGCCCTGCAAAGTGTCCTGGCCTGCTGGTCTGGTCACCCGTTGCAGGCATACCTGGGTTGTGGTCTGCCTGGTGAGAAGGGAGGGGTGAACTGACCCCAGCCAGAGGGACAGCTGGTCTGCCAGGTGGAGCACGATGCTCATGGTGGCTTCTTGGGAAGCATCTGCAGAGGATAGACATCATCAGCAGTGGAATGAGTGCTAGACCTGGCTCTGGTTTCAGGGCTCTCACCTGAGACTCTGTCACACCAACCAACTAGGTGACTACTCAGATTGAGAGAGAAGGAGGCACTGCCAGCTCCTTGCAGAGGTGCAGAGGTCGGCACTTCCACATCTTGCTCAGTGTCTGGGACTGACGGAAAATGCCCTGTACCCAGAGTGGAATCATCCTCTGGGAGTGCACAGCCTGTGGCATGCAGGCTTCCAACCCAGTCTGGCACCCCTTCCTCAGTGCCCTAGTGGCCACATCCAGGGACACCCCAAGTTGTATTGAGGCAGTTTTGGAGTGTGAAGATTTCAGACATGAACTGAATAAATGTTTCGAGAGTGTCCTGTGTGTTCGGCATCTGAATGGGCCTGGGGTATCTGAACACTACAAAGAATCTTCCTCTCATTAAGTTTAGGAAGATGTTAAGAGCGAGACTGATGGTTTTAGCTGGTTGGAGTCTGCTGCCTGTGCTCTTCATTGCCATCAGTATTTCTGCTTCAGTCTTAATAACTGAGTTTGCTAGTTCAATCCAGAAATAAAGCTCTCTAAGATGACCTATTGAGTTAGTTACAATGAGGTTTTTCAATGAGTAACTGAGACCCAAGATGATGGTGAGTTAATTAAAAGTGAAGCTTACTTCTCTGTTGGGTAAAGGGCTATAGTGGCAGCTCAACAAATCACATTTCCTGGAAACTGTTGCTCTATATTCTTAGCATGTCCACTGTTGTGATTACTGTCAGATTAGGTTTGCATGTTGCTGAACCCCAGATTTGTAATAGAATCATACAAATAAGTATTCTTTTGTGACTAGCTTCTTACCTTCCACAGATAGGAAATTCATCCATATTGCTATGTGTATCATTAATTCATCCTTTTAAATATTTTTTTTCTTTTTGCTGTACTGGGGGTTGAATTCAGGGCCTTGCACTTGCTCTAGGCAGGGAGCTATGCCCCCAGTTCTTTTGCTTTTATTATTTTTATGTATTTTTTGCCATTCTGGGAGTTGAACTCAGGGCATCATGCTTGCTAGGGAGACACTCTACCACTTGAGCTGTGCTTCCAGCCTTTTTGCTCTGTGTTTTTTTTTTTTTTTTTTTGGAGATAGGATCTCATTTTTTGCATGGACTGAGCTGATCTTTCTGAAGCGGCTAGAATGAGAGGAATGCCACCACTACTCCCAACTTTTTCTGTTGAGATGGGTCTCATGAACTTTTTGCCCAAGGTGTTCTGGAACATTGATCTTCCTGATCTCAGCCTCCTGAGTAGCTAGTATTACAGGCCTGGGCCACTGGTGCCAGCTTATTTTGTTTTTGAGATAGTGTCTTGCTAATTTTGCCTGGGCTGGCCTTGAACTTGGGATCCTCCTGCTTTACCTTTTGAGTGTCTGAGATTGCAGGTATGTACCACCATGCTCATTCTTTTTATTGCAGAATAATAATCCAATGCATGAATAGTTTTTGTGTTGTCTGTTCTCCTGTTGGTGATGAACATTGGGTTTTTGCAGTTTGAAGAGCTGCTAATAAACATTGTAATGTATATTTTATGCATATATACTTTCACTTTTGGGGATAAACTTAAGGGTAGAATGCTGGTTCATAGATGTTTATTTAGCTTTATTTCCAAAGAATTTTTCAAATTGATTATACCACTTTATACCAGCGATTTATGAAGATTTATGCCAGCAATAAATGAAGGCTTCAGGTGATGCGTACTTTTACTTGCCCAATCAGTACTTTTACTTGCCCAATTTGAATAAATATGGAGTGGTGTCTCATTGAAGTTTTAATTTGCATTTCCCTGTCACTAATGATACCGGACACTTTTTATGTGCTATTGATCATTTATATATCTTTTTTTTGTGAAGAGCCTCTTAAAGTCTTTTGCCATTTTTAATTGGGATGCCTTTTATTGCTGATTTGTAAATATTATTCACATATTCTGAGTAGAGCCTTAAATCTGTGACTCGATTTGTTTGCTTTCTTCATGGGGAGTTGCAGAGTTTTGATTTTTTTTCTATAAGCTTTATAATTTTATTTTATTTTTTAAATTTTTATTGTTTTTACATTTACTTACATGTGTATTTATTATTTGGGCAACCTCCCCCCCACATTGTTTGCTGTGTAGGATATCAGGAGACATGTTTTACTACTAGCACCATTTGCTACAACAACATACTTAATTATCTGCATTGTGAAAAGAGTTTTGTATCCAATTTCAATATTTCAAATCTCTGCTGGGGTGTTGGCCACATTGCCATCAAATACGTTTTGTGATGACAGTGGAATGAAACAAATTACACAGCTATCCTGAACAACTCCAAATATGTAGAAATGAAAATATTCTTCTAAATTACCTATGTATCAAAAATCACTAGGGAAATGAAGAAATAGATATATTTGAGACATTGGGGTTTGAACTCAGGGCCTACACCTTGAGCCACTCCATCAGCCCTTTTTTGCGATGGGTTTTTTTCCAGATAGAGTCTCTTGAACTATTTGCCTGGGCTGGCTTTGAACTGCAATCATCCTGATCTCTGCCTCCTGAGTAGCTAGGATTATAGGCATGAGCCACCAGCATCTGGCATGAAGAAATATTTTGAACCGTATTATAAGGAAATCTTAACATCAAATTTTGCAGCTGGATGTCGTTAAAGCAGTGTTCAAGATATAAATAACTTGAAAGGCATACCTAGAAAAGACTTTAATTTCATCATCCAAGCTTACACTTTAAGAAGATAAAGATAATTATTCTCAACTGAACAGAGGAAAGAAATAAAAGATAGTAGTGAAAAATCAATGAAACAGTTAATGAAGGAAGAAAATAGAAAAGAAGTTCTCAAGCATTTTGGTTTCAGCATCACTTTATGCTCTCAGGAATTATTTAGGCTGGTGGAGTAGCTCAAGTGGTAGAGCACCTGCCTAGGAAGTATGAGGCCCTCAGTTCAAATCCCAGTGCTGCCAAAAAAAAAAATCGAGAATCATTTAGAATCGGGGCCTGGGTTAGCTCAGTGGTAGGGTACTTGCATAGTATGCACAAGGCATGGATTCTACCTCCAGGACCCACCCCCCAAAAAAAAATTAGTGAGAGTCTTAGAATCTGGTGTATGAGTTTTATATCTAACAATTT